ACTTCTCTGTTTAGGTTCAATTAGAATGTAAACGTTCACATGTGACATAATTAAAAAGTGAAGTGTGAAATTTCTGCAACGTCAAATTTCAATATTAAGATCGGATAAACATCAGAAAAACTACATTACCCTTTGAGACTAAAAAGAAATGTGTAGTAATTGGCAAATTACTTGATTTACAGCAATGATTTAATCTGTGTTTTTATGAGAATGACACTGTTTACACCTTTAACATGAAACCATTGTGTCCAGCTCATTCTGAGCAATGTGGATGTGGAGCTGAAGTACTATGACCTGGGTCTTCCATACCGTGACCAGACTGATGACCAAGTCACAATCGACTCTGCTTTAGCTACCCAGAAATACCATGTTGCTGTGAAATGCGCCACCATTACACCCGACGAAGCTAGGGTCGAAGGTACGGCACATCTCAGAAACACTTCCTCTTTTTGATTATATTATTTGTTGTAATGACTTGGCGATATATCAGCCATGCTGTTCAGTTTGGCCATTTTGAAATATCAGTTAAATAACAATGTTGAATTAACAGTTGTAGTTTGTATCAATTTGAAAATCTATAAAATCTTATTATTTTGAAATCTCTATTTGTATCATCAGATTTTATTATCTTGCATTCTAGATAACCATAATAAAAATCCATAATGGTCATCTTCTAATTTCTACAACTGCTTTTGCTAAAATAGCCATGCCATATTAATATTTCTACAAAAAGTGCATAATGTAAATCTTTGTCGTCAATAACACTTGACAGAGTTCAAACTGAAGAAAATGTGGAAGAGTCCCAACGGAACCATCAGAAACATTCTGGGCGGCACTGTCTTCCGTGAGCCAATCATCTGCAAGAACATTCCCAGACTTGTTCCTGGCTGGACACAGGCCATCACCATTGGCAGACACGCTTTCGGTGACCAGGTCTGCTTTTTGGATGTTTTTTTTTGTTTTGTTTATATTATATATATACAGGTTTTTTTTTCCAATGTGTTCTTATTCCTGCTGACCTGCAGTTCTCTGTTTACTTTTACAGTACAAAGCAACAGACTTTGTTGTGAGCCAACCAGGTAAATTCAAAATGATCTTCTCTCCAGCCGATGGAAGCAAATCCAAGGAGTGGGAGGTGTTCGATTTCCCTGGTGGTGGCTGTGGAATGGGCATGTACAACACTGACGAGGTCAGTGAGCATATGCATATAATGCATTTTTAAACACTGAGTGAGATATCATTAAGATATCATCAAGATATCATTAACGATCTGTGAAAAGAGAAACCCCCCCCCCCCCCCCCCCCCCCCAAATGTAATAGATATGGTAAACCTGGAACTTTTAAATGGTCCTTCCCTGTAATAAAATATAACATAAATGTATCTACAATTCCAGACAGTAAAGACATTTATAATGCCACAAAACATTTCTATTTCAAATAAATGCTGCTGTTTTTGAGCTTTATATTCATAAAAGATTCCTTTAATATATTCCACAATATATTAAAAAGTGCAACTGTTGTAAACATTGATAATAAGAATGTCTCTGAGCAGCAAATCAGAATATTAGAATGATTTCTGAAGGATCATGTGACACTGAAGACTGGAGTAATGAGGCTGAAAATGACATCACATGAATAAATTACATTGTAAAACATTAAAACAGAACTTTTTTTTATCAAATAATCCAAATGTGACCTCAAAACAGCATATCTGCAGGGACCTTCCTATTTTCCACTGAAAAAAAAAATTGGCAAACGGATGTATGAAATTGAAAAATATCTTTGATAATGAGCTTGTACTCTGAAGATCTATCTTGAAGGTGTAAAAATAACACCTTGAATTAGAGACATTTTTAGGCTGTCTCGTGTATTCTGAGTTTGTATAATTAAGGCCTTTTGACTCAAATCCTGTTATGTTCTGCACTTACACCTCCTGAGGAATGAATGAGGTCTACTGTAGATTATAGATGACCTCCTTCAGCCCATGTTCCTGCAGTGAACCCTGTTGTCCTGAAGTCTTTGTTTGTAGTCAGGGGAATGGTCTGTTTGGGTTTACAACAGAAGAGGTGTCTGCCTGCAGGTGGTGGGCTCTTTTTCCCCTCAAAAAAGATTGAATGAAGTGTCTGTTCATTCTAGGCCACCAATTGATGGTGCTGAAATTGATTTTTTTTTTACACCATTTCCACTTCACATTTGAAGTGGTAGAATTTTTTTGACTTTTTTTTTCACCAATTGGAAGGAACTACACAGACAGCATTTCTGAACCCTAGCTGAATCTCCATTGTGAAAGTGGAACACTTGTGTGACATTCTGTCTTTCGTCCCTTTCTAACAGTCTATCACTGGCTTCGCTCACAGCTGCTTCCAGTACGCCATCCAGAAGAAATGGCCTCTCTACATGAGCACTAAGAACACAATCCTGAAGGCTTACGACGGCAGATTCAAGGACATTTTCGAGGAAATTTTTGTCAAGTGAGAGAAGGATTTATCAGTGTCTTTGCCACGCTTTTTATTTACACACTTCCACCGCGTGTTGCTGTGTAATTATGAGATTAGCGCTTTGAGATGCTGTCACAGTGGTGACATGTGAAACTATACTTTTCTTCCAAAGTAATTTCAATGGAAAATCTTGAGCGTCTTTTTTGTTTTCTATGGGCAGAAACTACAAGCCAGAGTTTGACAAGCTGAAGATCTGGTATGAGCACAGGCTCATCGACGACATGGTGGCTCAGGTGCTGAAGTCATCGGGAGCCTTTGTGTGGGCCTGCAAGAACTATGATGGAGATGTACAGTCTGACATCCTTGCTCAGGGTAAAAATCCTAGGAAAATATTCAATAATTTCAGTCTTTTCTATTGTGTTATCATATTGCACCCATGTTCATCCAATTATCCTTTTTAAAAAAAATTTTTTTAAGCACTTAGAGACTTTCATGTCATGAATCTCTAGACTCTAGAAATTACATAATCATATTTGTTCAGACTATAATCATGCTACCAATTTTTAAAGGCACATAGTGCTCATGAAGGATATTTGAGATGATAATTTTTACCTGATTAAAGAGTGTTGAATCTTGTCTACAGGCTTCGGCTCTCTGGGGCTGATGACCTCAGTGCTGGTGTGTCCTGATGGAAAGACCATTGAGGCCGAGGCTGCGCACGGCACAGTAACCAGGCATTACCGTGAGCACCAGAAGGTTTGTGTATTTCAGCGATTTATTTTCTTGCTACGCATCTCATCCTGCATACAAATATAGGTTTGATACCGGAAATTCAGAGTAGTTGTGTTGAATAAAATGCACTTTATCAATGGTCCACTTTAGACATTCTACTGTCACTTTGCAACTACATGTCAACTACCAGTTATTCGAGTATTAGACGGCTGTCTGCTTAATATCTGATAACACGTTATTTTGATGCTCCCCCAACAGACATTCTAACTATAAATAATTTTGCAAATACATCAACTTATTCTACTAAACCAAACCCTAAAACACAAGTCGGCTAACAGTCTACTTGTACTTTAGTAGACATGTAGTTGCAAAGTTACTTCTAGTTAGTAGAATTTCTAAAGTGGACCATCAAAATAAAGTGTAACCAATAAGGGTTATAGAAAAAAACAACTAAAAGTAACCTGGATGTTCCACAACTGAATTTAGATGCCTTCTGCCATCTTGTGGTGAGAGGAAAAAACAACATCCTTCAATATTAGCATTTGAACTGAAGGATGCATTAAATTGCTTATAAGTGACATTGTTCAAAAAACTTAATGCTGTGAATTCAGCTTTGCATCACAATAATTAATTACACATATTCAAATAGAAAACCGTATTCTTGTGAAAAATTACAACTTAAAACAACTGTTTCTATTTGATCAAATAAATGCAACAATTCTTAATTGTAATTATTGTATGATCTTCTAGGAGGCACACATAAAATGCTTTATGTATGCTGCAAATGGGTTGCACCCATATATTCATTATATTCACAACTACCATTTTTACTATGCAATTGCATGTGAATAGCTTACAATGTAGAACCTTGAATTTACTCCCAAGAATTATAAGAATGTATCATAATATTGAGGTTTTTTTTTTACACAGGGTAGGCCAACTAGCACTAACCCCATTGCCAGCATCTTTGCCTGGACCAGAGGACTGGAGCACCGTGGCAAACTCGATGGAAACCCAGACCTGATCAAGTAAGCTCATTTGTTACTGTCAGTCGTCTGTACTGGATGATTAGGATAGCGTGGTCGTAAGGGGAGTTTTATCTTCCAGTCATATTGCTAGTGTTTAATCGAAAGTGGAAGTGTTCATCGTTTTCCTGTTTCTGTGCAGGTTCTCTCAGACTCTAGAACGGGTGTGCGTGGAGACTGTGGAGAGCGGCGTGATGACCAAGGATCTGGCTGGCTGCATTCACGGTCTTGCCAAGTAAGTCAGAGCATATAAAAAATGATCAAAGTGTAATGCCTTTAACCTCCATTGAGTGACTAGCCCTAATGATAAAACTGCTGACATCAATTATTATGTGTGCTCTAGCTAATGTCTCTGATGTTATTAACATTTGTCTTTCTGTGACCGCAGCTGTAAGCTGAACGAGCATTACGTCAACACCACAGACTTCTTGGATGCCATCAAGACAAACCTAGACAAGGCACTGGGCAAATGAAGGACAACGGGGTCCGGACACGTGGAGAGTGTCTTTTTGTACCTCATTTTTAACTTAAAGGTCATGATGAATACCACATAATGTATGAAGGGAGGGGTAATAAAAACATAGTGATGTTCCTAGCTGTTTTGTTAGTGAATCCTGCTGATGGGTGATCCCATCTCTTCCTGCACCTCCAGGGGTCTATTTTTTTAAGATGAAGTACTGTATGTCTGATGCTGTATAATACCACAGGAGAAAAAGAAAGATCAAGAGCCACATGAAAAATTAATCCGTCTAATAAATCCGTCACCTGGATTCCTGTTCTTGTGTTGTTTATCACACTTCACACGTTTAAAGGTAAATAAATGTTTTAATTTACAATAATGTCCAGAGCACAACGTTTAACAGACATGTATCAACATCATTTTCACATCAGTGTGCAACAAAAGAATTGAAAGCTTATACAAAACTCAAACTCCTTCCTAGCTTGGAGTTAACCGGCCAAAATGCAAGGACACGACAATTTAAAACAATAAAAATGCACCAAATCTTTCACATTAACATTTTGAGTTTCTTAGCTAGATGGAGAATACATGGTGAATTTCCCCAATCATTCTCGGCTGGGTCTCGAGCCCTGTCACATGTCGGCAGACTGTCGTTCATCACTCTGGAGCTCTGTGCCGGAATGATGGATGAGGCATCCTCTTGCACACACAAGGGCAGTTCATATTTCTGTCCAGTGTTTTTAGGGCATCCTCTTCAAAATTCAACCAGTATTGGTGACTTTGTGAAAGATGCTGTATGTTACAAGGTTTTATGTCAAAGGAGATTAAAATGGATGCAAAATTGGATGAGGTTTGGAATAAGGCAGTATAATCCACACCAAAAAAATGATGCTAGAAGATCACATTTTAAAAATAAAATGAATTTAGTCCACGTAGTTAGCTGGTACGTAGTACAAGAACACAGAAATAGTGAGGAACAGATTGCAAAACTAAAAAGACATTTCAGATATTTATGAAGATAAAATATTTAAGTTTTTCTTTGACCCATTGCTCTGAAATATTGAACACTTAAAAGGGACAAATCTTAGTATTACATTCATCAAACTAAAGATGGAAAAAATATATATATAATTTAGAAGATTCTTGTAATTGAGAGATGATGGACCAAACAATGCACTTGGGTAAATAATGCAATTATGCTCAAATTTAACTAAACCCATGACTTAGCTTCTATATTTTAAATTTTAAATAAAATCTGCCCATCTGGAACATTGGCAATGTATTTACACTTGTGAATGCCAAGAAACATTGAACAATAAATACTATTTGCAATAATGTTAAAACAAAGAAAAATATCCAGAAGGCCATACAGTGATTAAATGCCAAAATAAAATAAAAAATAGGCACTGAAAAACCTTTCCAGTAACCATCAATCCACTATGAGCTACAAACAACATGTGCCCATTGAAAAAATGCTGGAGAAGAATCTTAACAAAAAGTCACAGTATGCTTAACTAAATCCTGGGGAAGTTAACATGTAATGAGACCAATTTGCACTTTGTCAGCTTTGGTTAAGTCCTATTAAGTGGTCTCTAACTTGCTGGACGTTAAAACCACCAACAAGATCAATGGTCTAAACAGCAGTCTTGGTTTATCGGTTTAAAGGAGCTGTGGATTGTCTGTCTAGATTAAGTGCTTTCTTATATCTGAACATATCGTTTCGCTGCCCCATTGAACATAGCTCAGAAATTATATACTTCTTAAGAACTACATTCTGTAATGGGGAAAAAGTGGAACATTTGTTTCAAAAAGAACAGCACCTACACACACAGTCCTTTATTCTTCAGGATGGTCCCTAATGTAAAATGACATTGTTAAAATGAAGCTTCAATCGGCTATCACTTTAGTTTCGCAGACCCAAAATGGGCTCCAGTGCACATCCACTTCACGATGGCTATTTCCTCACCGGCTCCTATCAGAGCCAAGAGTACTACTGAAATGACCATTGCAGTCTTTTTCACCACCTTAAACCACATTTTAGTGTCTCAGTCTGCTGCTTAAGTCGCGTTGTAGCGAGCAGCAACCTTGGTGTAGTTGTAGTAGCTAATTTTGGCGAGTTTGGCCAAATCTTGTGCGTTGTTGCTGGCTAGATTTTCCCTCTCGCTGTAATCAAAGCTCTCCTCCTCGTAATCTTCCTGACCCTCGGCATCAGGCAGGGCATCTGAGCAAGAAAATGCACAAATATAAGCTTCAACACTTCTTTTTGTCACAACATATACAACAATATGTGAATTCAGGGGGTTAACCAATACTTAGTCACAGACAACAATCTCTGAATCAGTCAAATATACATCGCAAGCCGTGGTACTTTTATTTACACTAGGTAGCAAACTTTTACTAGCATTAGCATTTCAACTTCCACTCTATAAACCCACAAAAAGGCGAAGCAGATCTATAAACCTCAAGGCTATTTCTGTCCTGTCGTTTCTAATTTTCTATAACATTCTAATTTTCTATAACATTGAGAACTGCAAGTCATAAATATAATCTGAGGTATAATTTGCATGTTACCTTGCCCTTCATTTGAGGTGTCCAGGATTCCATGTTTCACCTTCATGTGTCGACTTAAGTTGCCCTTCAAATTGAACTTGCTGGTGCAGTAAGGACACTTGAAGGGTTTGCTACCGGCATGAAGGTGCATGTGACCCAGCAGGTTATACATTCTGTTGAAGGACTTCCCGCACACCTACAAAAAAAAAAGCAAAGAGTTCTAGGTTTGATTCACAGCCATATCAAGTAGAAAAATATAGACTCCAGCAGGGGTTATACTGTGCAGGGAAGAGTGCTTCGTACCCACCTTGCACTTAAAAGGTTTCACAGGCAAGTGGACAATCATGTGCGTTTTAAGCGTCTGCTTCTGAACAAAGGTCTTGAAGCAGATGTGGCACTGGAAAGGGCGCACACTGGTGTGAATCAGCATGTGTCGCTTCAGGTTGGCAGAAAGTGTGAACTCACGAGAACACACGTCACATTTGTATTCCTTCATACCCTGAGAGAGAAAGACAATGGCAATATATTAAGATATGAATCCATTGCGACCATCTCTTTAAAAGTAACTTTTGTAAAAAAAAAAAATCGTTTTTGAGAGCGGGAGAAAAAATCATTTATCACTGGCATCAGCTGAATGTGAAAAAGTGGTTAGTTGTCATAAGCACAGCTGAATTCATCAGCAGGGTGCCTGTCTTGCTTGCTCACTAGAATTCATAATACAGAGCAAGAAACTCACACACACTTACTTTATTCACTGTTGTTATCGCAATGCTGCAGGGTAAATAGACGTGTATACTCTGCAGTGTGAGCTCTGATGCTCCACCATGCTAAAACATTAACAAATGAAGAGGGTTAAATATTCTCTCGCCTGAACAATTTGACTATTCAGTAAACACTTCCAGTGTATCCAGGGAATACTGCTGTCCTAACATATATGCAAACATCCTTCAATTTCAGAATGTGCTATGAAGAACTAGACTGAACCTACACTACAAATGCATACCCCTTATAATCAGTGTGTTTGGCCCCTTAATTTCAGTTAAGACAATTCTAGAGAACTGTGTGGTAATAGTTTAGGGAGGGTCCCAATGTCCTTGTGCACAAATTGTGGTTTCTTGTGATGCTGAAGAACTTGACTGGCCACAAAACTCAGATCTGAACTCTGTTGGGATGAACTGGAACGTCAACTTTGACCGGGCCACATCACCCAACATCAGCACTATGCTCATGTCTGAATAGTATCAAATTCCTTTATTCGTGTTCCAACATCTAGTGGAAACTCCCTAGCAACTATAAAGCACATACAGGTGCAGTATTCAGCTGTCCATTTTCTTTTGGCCATATAGTGTACCCAACTTACTGAAATCACAGTGTTTTCATTCAGTCATTATCTCTAATGGCAATACACATCTAAAAATGGATTCCAAACTAAACAACTGTAGTAGCTGAAAAAAAAAAGGACTAACTGCCGGTGTGTTTTTTGTTTATAACCCTGCTGACCTGTGACATTCTGTTTACTGACACTGCAGTCATGACGAGATGAATCATACTCATGGAGAGTGAGAAATGAAAGGAGGAAGTATCAGCATGTGAGACACACTTCACTGCACAAAGCACACTCAAAACAAAACAGCTCCATACTAGTGCAAAGGGACGAGTTAATGGCAGGGTTGGATGGCTTGAAGGGACTGACAGAGACAGCTCCATTTACACAGAAACTTCTTGTGGCAATACCCAAGACACAGCTGAAGATGACACACAATAACCTACGGATTTATGAGAACATGTAGATGTTGGCAATGTAGGTGGGATCTGAAAGTCACTGGGGAGTCATTTCTAATAGGACGATTGCGGGAAGATTACAAAAACTAATGAGGTTTAAGTACCTTGTGTTTGAGGGCCGGCTGTGTCAGTACCTTGTGTGTAAGCATGTGCTGCTTCAGGTGGTGGATCTGCACGAACTCCATGCCGCACTCCGAGCAGACATAAGGCCGCACGTTCTGGTGCTTCATCAGATGGTTCTGGAGCTGGCTACGGTAGGCGAAGGACTTATGGCATTCGGTGCACTGAAAGGTGGTCGGGCCCTGGTGGCTGACCTGGTGGCGCTTGAGGTGTGCGTGAGTGGGGAACTCCATGCCGCACTGCGTGCAGACGTGACAGTGGCCGCTCTCGTGTTTAGTCTCATGAGTACGCAGCTCACTGGGGTAGGCAAAGCCTCGGCCGCAGAAGCGGCAGCTGTATGGCTTGACGTCGCTATGCTGCAACATGTGCCGTTTGAGGTGACTGGTCTGAGTAAAGGCCTTCTTGCAGACGGTGCACTTGTGCGGCCGCGTGCCCTGGTGCGTCAACAGATGTGTCTGAAGGTGGCTGGGCTGCTTGAAGAGCTTTCCACAGTGAAGACATTCATGTGGCTTGATGCCATTGTGACCGAGGATGTGTGTAACCAAGTTGTACTTCGAAGTGTAGGACTTTTCACACATGCGACACTTCCAGCGTTTCAGGCCTTCGCCCACATCCACACAGTATGATTCGTCGATTTGCACGTTGATATCTAGACGGTCGATTTGCATCCGTCTACCCAAGGAGTTCTCGCCCTCTGCCCACGCAATGGCCTGGCCGCCCTCCCCGTAATCTCCCGGAAGGCCTATCTCAGCAGCCTCGTACGCAGTCACACTGGACTCATAGTAGCGCCTCATTGCTGGGCTCACATCCTCCTCTGTAGTTTTTAGGTTCAGTGCTTTCTCCTCTACTTCTTCCTCCTCCTCCTCTTCTTCTTGTTGTTGTTGTTCCTCCTCCTTTCCCCGGCCTTCCTTGAGGGACTCCACCAATGCCTTTCCACGCCCCACAGGGCCTTGTTGAGACTGAGTCTCAGAGTCTACCTGTTGGATGGCTGGCTCCCTCGAGGACTCAGGGTAGCCTTTGTTACACTGCTCTTCTTTCATTGGCACTCTTTGAGGTGCTAGGTCCAACACTTCTGGCTCGTTGTCGGTTTGCTGGGGATTCGAGAGATAACAGGGGCTAGAGAACTCAGGCCTCTCTCCCTTCACCTGATTCGATGTGTCCAGAGACCTCTCCGTGGACTGCTCCGGTTCTCCTTCACTCAAGGGCCTCTTGGTCCTCCCGCGGGGCCCCGGTCGCCTGCGCTCTGCCCCGTAGAGCCCTTCTGGCCTCCTGTTCTCCCCGTGAGGCTCGGACAGATAGTCTCCATTGGCTCCAATTAGCTGATCTGCATATTCATACTCCATTGATTCTGCAGGGGGGGCAGGGCCTTCACGTCCCTCTCCCGTGTAGAAACCGTTTGGGGCAATTGTGGCTCCGAAGATTTCGTTCTGAGATATGAGGCCCAGCACAGCAGCCTGGGCCAGGGACAGGACCACCACCGGGTCAGTCTGAGTGCTGACATCCACCGCATGCTCCATCACTTTAGAATAGCAGCGGACCAGAGGAACCTCCTGTTCTTCCTGTCAATGGAAAGAACAACAGGTTTTAGCAATACTTCATGAAATCAAAATCAGTGTATAAATCTGTCATTGCAAGCGTCAATACAATACACTCGTAGCAACAAGGTCTGGCTAATGCTGTCATGGCAACAGTGTCACTACAATAGCAACAAAGTCAGTGCAACAGTGTCACATCAACATAAGTGTCAGAACAACGAATTTGACTGATGCGGGGCAACAAATAAAAGCTGTTTGGATAGGATTTGCTTCAGAGCTAAATGACAGCTCAGTCAGATCAGGCAATTTCTGGCAACATGGCAGGAATGTTTTTCTAGAACCTTTCCTCTAACTGATCTTTTTTTTTGTCAAATAGTGAACATTCTCATAGAGAAAGATAATTATAATATATATAAAATACACATTTTACAATATTCACAGCAGTAAGCAAGAGACATATTCTGACAACGCCTTGCCTCCGTGTCCACTAGAGATTGCTTTAGATAGAAGAGATAAGACAGATCTGTTCAAGCGCCATGCTTCCTTCCTTCACAGTCTTTAAAAGGACACGAAGCACAAAGAGTGACTGGGTCCGAACGGGAAGTCTACATCCGTGGACTATCCACAGCATTTCCTGCGAGGTCAAGCGCTGCCACTGCTGACTATGAAAAGGCCGGACAGTGAAGTTTTAGCAGAACCAGCAACATGAGACCAGTCTATTCGCGGACTTCAGAGATTGGCTGAAGCCAAAATGATTCAGTTCATTCCTTTGAGGCTGATGATTATGTTACTTACATATGGATTAATTAAAGAACAACTTGGTTGAACTCTTAGCTCAGGTCAATTTACCACACCTCTGTTCTAGATTACCAGAATGCTCAACTCACTGTCATGTTCACACAGGTAATTGTGTGTGTGCTCAGAAAGTCATTAACGTACATTATCACCTCTAATGAGCTGGTACCTTGATTTGTGCTGAATTGAAAGCCATGAAATACGGATTTCAGCTTAAGCAAAAACAAGCAAACACAAGGGAAAGAGGGAGGGAGAGACTGACAGCTGTAAAACAGAGGAAGAGAGACAGACAAGCAGAGACAGAGGAAAGAAAACGAGAAGTGGGGGGGAAGAGAGAGAGAGAGAAATGAGAAGGGGAACCTGGATGCCCTGATAACCATGTCATTTATAATTACTGCTTTTAAAGCAGTCAGACAGAGGGAGGGAGAAACAGACAGAAAAAAAAGAGTGAGTGAGTGAGTGAAAAAGGGTGATTGAGGAAACAAGTGAAAGAAGGAAGAGAGAGGAAGGAGGGGAACTGGGGGATGAGAGATAGACTGAGTGAGTGACTGAGTGAGGGAGGGGAGTGAGGAAAGAAAGATAAAGAGAGATAAAGAAAGAGGGAGAGAAAAAGAAGAGGGTGAGGGAGGGGCAGCGGGGGATGAGAGACTAAGAGAAGCTGAGTGAGTGAGAGAGTACAACAGAGAGATAAAGAGTGAGGGAGGGGTGTGGAGAGTGAAAGACTGAAACTAAGAAGGAGACAGAAAGAGAGAAAAAAGAAGAGGGTGAGAAAGGAGGAAGGGAAAAGGAAAAAGAACGAGTCTTAAGACAGAAAGACAAATGAAAGGGCCAGTCGGGCAAGATAGCAGCCGTGACTGTATGAGGAGAGCTGAAGTGAATATAAAAATAGATTAAAAAAAATACGCTAGCTAGTATAAAGACTAGCATAGAATGAACCTGTGTGTGTTTGTGAGTTTGAGAGATAGAAAACAAAAGAAATATACTGCATTCAAGGTAGAGAGACAATATGAGAGGCTAGACTGTAAAAGAGAGAAAGGTTAATATATGAATGACACTCTTGCAGTATTCTGTGAGAGAGAAAAAAGTTACTTCATTTCCACAGTTCAGAGTAACAAACTTTAACACAGCAATTAGCCAACAGCTCAAGTCAATATATCAACACAAGTCGCTTCGGGTAGCATGTATGTTTGGGTTGAGCACTCACCACATTACTCCTGGTGTGATGTTTCAGATGTTTCAGGGACCTCATCCTTCAAGAGAAGTGAGAGGAGCAAAAAACACCAGCTCCTATTTATAACTGCGAGAGAGGGGCGGAGCCACACTCATCCTCCTCCTACTGTTGCTGTTATCAGAACTGACTGTGCCTGCCTCTCGCACGCATACACACACAAACCTATTTCTTCCATTCTCTTTCTTTCCGTCTCTCTGCCCTCCCTTCCTCACACTCCCCCATCTCTTTCTCCTTTCTTTCTTTCTCTTTCACTCTCTCTCGCGCGCATTCACTATCTTTCTTTCTCACGCACACACTCCATACGGCGTGACCCTTCAACAAACATATTTCTCTCTTACTAACAAAAGCTCACTTCTCCGCACATTTACGTCCTCTCTTCACTTTAGAGATGATCGCAAACATGTTTCAAGCCGGCATGTGCACGCGCGTGCGCGCGCGCTCACACACACACACACACACACACTGGAGGTGTGTCTGTTGGTGTCAGACAGACAGTAAGTGAGATATGCTGAAATGTTTTCCGGGAGGAGTTCTACAGGTCTGTTTATTTGCGCATCTCAAATAATTAAGCCGCAAGACGCCTGTGCAATGTCTGAGAGCCAGTACGCACAAAAAAATGAGTGACAAAAGAAAGAAAAGGAGAAAGAAAAGCAGTTTGGAAAGAGAGGGAGGGAGTGAGACAGACATGGGGGAGAGAGAGAATAAGAGGAAGAGGGAGGGGGACTGAGACAGAGAGGTATAGAGAGAAAAGGGAAGGGAAGGGGGGTGAATGGGAGAGAAATAGAAAAAGAGAGAGAGAGCGACAGAGAGAGAGAGAAAAGAGGTGGGGGAGGGCGAGAGAAGAAGAGAATGCAGCAAAAAAGAAGGAAGAGAGGAACTGGGGGAGGGAGAGCAAAGCATAAGAAAAGATGAGGTCAAAGAATAGAGAGAAAGACAGAAAGAAAGAGAGAAGAGGGAGGGAGAGCGCTCGAGAGGAGGAGGGGGGGACTGAAAGAGAGATAGAAAAAGAGAATGCATTGAAAGAGAGAGAGTTTCAGCAGCCTGTGAAAGAGATAGTGAGGGGGGGGGGAGAAAAGGGGGATGTTGGAGTGTGAAAATAAAAAAGAGGAGTTCATCAGCAAGAGAAAAAGAGGGGGAGTGGATGAGTGGGGGGAGGGGGGGCGGGGGGAAAAGAGAGAAAAAGGGAAAAACAGCAAGGAAAGATATTAACTATTGAAGTTCTGGTTTCCTCTGTCAGGCTACCTGCCCGTTCCGTTGCTGAGGTGTTCCCGCTCATCCTCATTACGGAAAAGGTATGGGATTACTCTTAACACTTCCCGTGAGCTTATTAACGTCAGGATATAGGCTGGCCGTCCCACAAAAGAGCCTCTATTATGGAATGGAACACACCTGAGTGAAGGACTGTGCTGTATACCGTCAGTGTGTGAGAAGAGTGGAGGACATTTTTCATCAGTGAGCAGGAAAGGGCAATCCATGAAGGAGAGAGAAAATCAAGCATTGTAGGAGAGTCACTATATGTGCGTCTGGTCTGAGTGAGAGAAAGATGTGTGTGCGTGTGAGAGATCGTGAGAGGAAAGGAGGGAGGGAGGGAAAAGAGAAAGGACAGGCAGAGAGAGAGAGAGAGAGATAGGGAGCGAAGGGAAACAGACAGAGATAAAGAGAGATTGAGGGAGGGTGTGAGTGAGGGGGAGAGATAGCAGGAAGTTGAGAGAGCGAGTGAGGAGAGAAAATAGAAAGAGTGCAAGGGAAGAAACAAAGAGATAAGACGCAAAAGACAAAGAATCCACATGGAAGAAGAAACGGCCAGGGACGTTAAACAACACAGAGCTGCCCGCCTGTGGGGAAAACGAAAAAGGGGGAAGACAACAAAAGTTAGGGGGGAAAGAAAGAATACGCTGGCTGGAATACTCATCCAGGCCAATAGGTTTTCCTCCTCCCTTAAAAGAAAAAGAAAAAAAAGAAGAAGAAAGAAATTGCTTGAAACCTGTCCTAACCTCATTTGCCCAGAAGTATCAGACTTGTGTGAACCAGTCCTAACACACACACACACGCATGGAAGAATACATGATGAATAACAAACGCCTACTAGTTTCTTCTGCGTGTGTGTGTGTGTGTGTGTGTGTCTGCGTTTGCTTCTCCACAGGTTTGTGTAGCTGTGTTTCAGAGGGGTGTGTGGTTTGGGAATCTATCTACAGGTTTTACAGACAAGTGTATGTGTGTGTGAGCGTATCGCATGACACTTGTACTTGTGGTTTGCGTGTTTTTCTTCTGCCTGAAGAGAAGCAATAGGGAACTTTTGTGTGCATTGTTTTCTGTGGCAGTGTGAATGTATGATACTGAGGGAAGTATGAACCGGTTGGGTTAGTAGCTGAGATCCGACTGGGATGTATATGCATGTGGTTGTTTTTGATTCCCAAAACCCTGACCTGAGCAGAGATGAGACGGGGAAACTCCAAACGTTTTCATTATGACGCAATGAACGTGAAGAGGTGTTTCACAAAGTTATTCAATTCTTCATTTTGTTTATTTTTTGTGGGAGAGATGAATTCAAAAGTAGAGTGTGGGTGGGGTAAACTGTGCCATTTTTATGGAAGTTGTCCTCCAATACATTAAATATATTTTTTTCAGAATGTGTTCTCAATTGAAATATTAGATATTTTACTTCAAAAAAATGGGAACAATTTACATAAACAAGAAAAAAAGTCTTATTTTGATGCACATTTTTTTTTAGACATGCAGGCAGGAACAAGTTTAATATTCTGAATATTTGAATGAAGTAATAATTTTCAACATTTCGTATAAAAGTAGCCTATTTGAAAGGGTAATAATAATATATTTATAATAGTTATTCCAGCATTTGGAGTCAGTATATCCTAAACTGTCACGTTTTATCCCACATGTACCATTTTGGGAAAACACTGCATTTACAGTAATATTTCATGACTAAACGATTACATGGTTTTATAATAGAAATTCCCCAACCTAAGATGTGTAGTTGACATGAAATGCTTTTAGAAAGGTGATGTGTCATGTGGTGTGACGAGCTAAACTACATTTTAAAATGCATGTTGCTAATTATTATGCATGCGGCTTTTAATACATCATTTTTAAATGAGAGATTATGAAATCTATTTGAAAATTCTGTTATCACACCACAGGACCTTTTAAAAAGAACTAGCGAAGGCAAATGTGTTTAAAAATGTAAAATACATAAATAAATAATAAGGTGAATCCCTTACACAATCATTTATATTTGAACAAATACTGATGTTGATTAAAAAAAAAGGCTCATTGATACATTATGTGTCTACTACCCATAAACACTACAATTCAAAAGTTCTTTTTTCTGTAAAGAAATGATTATATTTCCAGCAAGAATGCATTAAATTGATCAGAAGTGGCAGTAAAGACATTTATACTGTTACAAATTATTTCAATGTCAAATATATGTCGTTCTTTTGAAATTTCGATAAATCAAATCCTGAATTTATATATATATGATTTCACAAAAAAGCAATACAGCTGTTTTCAACATGAATGATAATAAGAAATGTTTATTGAGCACCAAAATTTGCATATTAGAATGAATCCTGAAGGATTTGCAGTGACAGTAATGATGCTGAAAATTCAGCTTTGCATCACAGAAATTATATTAGGAATTTTTTTGTATATATTATATACAATATATATGAACATTATTTTAAATTGAAATAATATTTTGTTTTACTGCATTTTTTATCAAATAAATGCAGTCTTGGTGAGCATTAGTGAAGTCTATACAAAAAGAAACTTACAAACCCCCAAATTATGTAAATCTGCTTTTACATAATTTTAATTTTACCTGCCAAGTAGATAATTCACTAATATATAAACGCCTATAAAACATAAACAGACGTTTTACTTTCTACATTTTTGCTTTCTTAATACTTGATGACAAAAACCATGCAGTTGCTCAGATTTAACGAGGTGGCCCATCTTACCCCACTCCCCTACAATGCTGTCATGTTAATCGAAACATGTCTCCATGATAAATGATCTGTTCAAACGCTTTTAATATGGGCAGAACCGAACAAACATGAATTAGCACAAAGCCAGATCATCACCTGTCATCCAAGCTACGGGATCATTACTCTGTGCTGCCGTGAGTTTTAGTGGAGATCTTGTGGGGTGTTAAAGCACATGCAAGCCAGCCTTCAGCTCCCCCCATTTGAGCCCAGAACACACACCAGCACTGCCACTCATTAACCACAGGAACTCAATGGACATAACCTTTGACCCCAAACCAGACATAACTGCCAGCAGTTAGTTCCTTTCTAAATTAACTTCTAAATCATGCGTCCGCTTGTGTGAACGTGTTATGAGGTAGTTTACCCAAACACCGAGTCTTAATCTCATTCACGGAAAGTTGCGTCTCGGCCCTGATGATCCTGCGCTCTTGATTTCAATGTTTGTGTTTTTCCATTGTGGCTCGTCCGAGAAAATCGCACTCAGATACGCACACACAAGCAGCACAAACACAGAAGATGCAAAGAAGAGAGGCTCTCCAAATCCTGAATAAAAGATTACCCCCCTCATTCAGCACGGGGGTTACAGATAAAATGTTGGACTGAATATTGGGCAAGAAAATGTTTCTGCCGAGAGGAAATAGAGTGAATAGAAAAGAGAAAGACAGTCGAGGGAGGAGAGCATTCAGCACAGGATATAAAAGGAACAGAGAGAGAAAAGAAAGAGGAGAGTGGGGGGGGGGGGGGGGGGAGAGAAGAAGAGCGAGAGAAGGAGAAAGAGGAGAGAGAGAGAGAAGGGGGAGGGAGAGTGAACGAGAGAGAGAGAGAGAGAGAGAGAGAGAGAGAGAGAGAGAGAGAGAGAGAGAGAGAGAGAAACAGAAAGAGGAAAGGGAGAGAGACAGTGAGAGAAAGACAGGAGAGAAGGGGGAAGGGAGACAGAAAGAAAAAGAGACACACAAGAGACTAAAAAAACACAGAATAATAATAAAAAAAGCAGCAGCAATGTCTGGCTTGGGCTCCATGAAGATAGACAAATTTGAATGAACATAGGAGGCTATATTGTGTGCATGTGAATGAGGCGGGAGTCCACACCCTGCAAACCTCAGCTGTGAAGGCACAAGTTCATTGTGTCGGGCCTAGAAGCATTCAGGAGCCACTCCTCTGCATGTGTGTGTTTCTCTGCGGTCTGAGGTTAGGAGG